CTTCCATAACCACTGTAGCCAGCATTTCTCACCACTTATTTCTAATTCAGAAGACATACATTGTATTTATCACTCATGGTTACAGTGAAGACTGCTTTCTGTTTGTAATTCCTTGATTTTTCCAAGGATATTAGACGTTCTTGGAGAGGCCTGGTCTGACTTCTCATTTGGATACATTTAAACATTAGAGTCAGGGGCTACATATAACACGAGCTCAATCGGCACCGGTTGGTTGCATGATTGAAAAGCATAACAGGCAGGTTTCAGAGATATTGCAGGTTTGGTTCCAGACCACTGCAATAAAATGAGTATTGCACTAAAGCAAGTAGTAATATTTTTGCTGGCGGAGGGTCAACTGAGAAATGCAATAGAACAAGGTATCAGCCTGTGTTGATGCGTTCAAGTGTAAGTGTGTCATCAAGTCTATTGTGTCTTCTTAGAGTCCCATCCCACATGCTTTGATTCCAAAGTCCAACAAATAGAGTAGGAATGGGAGTATTAAATGTCTTATCTAGTTAGAAGATTGACCTTCAGGGTCATTGAAACAACAGCTTCCAACAGAACGGTTTTTAGGTTTGGCGATTTTTGGTTTTTCATTTCACCATTGAAATACATCAGTTTCAAATCTGTTTTTAAATACTAAATAGGGAAACTGATAAACCAAAAAGAGAAAGTTGCCAGCTGATAGTCAGTCTTAAGGTGGTCAGGTTGACCTTTTACTCAGGGCTCCCGGGTCCTGTCCCCACACCCTCTCTCCCCAGGTTCTCAGCCTCATCCGTTACTCAGACATTTGCCATAGGGCCATTTGCTAAACAGGTAGCTAGTAATTAAATTGTTCTACACATAACCACAACCAACTTTTTTTTCTGACATGATACCCTTTTGAAAATGTTTGCAGATATAAGTCTATGCACCTGAAAAGGGAAAGACCCGGTTGAGCAGGAGTAGGGAAAGGTGTTTGACATCAACTCTCGTAAGCGCATTATTGTGTGCCTGGTAGTCACAGCCTGGGAGGTGATGGGGTTAGGCTGCAAGCGTCTTGAGCGCAGGGACCTCACCTTTTCTTCCATGCTAATTATGTACATCATATTTGCCCAAAGGTCATCAACAGCGTAGGATGGCTGCTTCAGCCAACACACCCTCCATCACATGGTTGGCTGATGGTTGATGGGTCAATTCTCAAGCCCGCTTATCTATCCAGAAGCTCTCCGTGGTTTCCAAAAATAACAAACAGCAATCAGGGAGAGGGCTGGGCCTCCAGGGTTACTGAGCATGTTCGGAAAGGTATGCTTCCTCCTCTGAGCACAGGTTTCCTGCCTAGCAGCAGCCTGAGTCACATCCTTCACATGATCGGCACTGTCAGAGCGTCATTGTTCCGTGCCAGGTCAGAGCCGGTGATTCAACAAGTGGCTGGTGTGCTTCGAGGGCTTTCATATTATGCATTTCCTTTAAGATGGTCTGAGTGAGATGGATTCGGTCCTGGGCAGGCTGGACAGGGACCCTGTTGCAAATTAAATATCCACAAATGCCGCCCTACCAGCCTACTGACCCTTCTCATTGTGTTAGGACGTGTGGGATATCGGTACAACTTATTATTGCCGACAAAAGATGGATTTTTGGTTGTTTGGTTTATATTTGGCATTTAAAGCAGCCTGGCATGTGGTGGATTCAATATCTCAATGAACTCTCTCTTTTCACTAGTATGTGTCTGTGTCTTCCACTAAATTGTAAACTAGTAAACAGCGAAGGCCGCATCTTTGTTCATCTTCATAAGTCTCCTAATGCCTCGTAGAAGCGTGTCTAGTGGGTGTTCGGCGAATGTCTAGGGATTGAATTGAAAGGTAAATTGGAGTCTGATTGCATCTCCAGGCAAAATCAAGTTTATTTCATAGTTGGTAAGAAACCAGCAACTTATTTTAAGCAGCTCCGTTAAACGGTTTCATACGTGTCAAGTGTCTATTAACGCTCTGAGGGCTGGAGTCAGTATTTTATCTGTAAATGGAAGGAAACCAAGGAGAGAAAAGGAGCACTGGTAGATGGAGACAAAGAGAGGGCTTTGAGCCTTGAGCCTAGATGACGGAGATTTAGTGATATCACTCTGAGGAGAGAACAGAAAAAAAGTTTTGGGGTGGAAGATAATTCATTTGGCTTCAAATGTGTGGGACAACCCTGCGGTTTTTGGAGATCTCTGGAGTTGGACGTAAATGCTGGGCACAGGACAGGATGGGCATAGGGGTTCTAGATTTAAAGCCATTTCTATTCTGTTTTTATCTGAAACCCAGGAAGGGGAAAGGTGAACAGAGATGTGGTTCTGAGGCAGAAGACATCAGGCTGGAGGAAATTCTGCAGGTGGAGAGGAGTAAAAAGGAGGGGCAGTGAAGGAGAAAGAGAAGGAATGTAGAATGCTAGACGAGAGGGATTTCTAAAATTGGGTAGTTGACAGTATCAAACATGAAGGAGGACAGTGCTTTAATGACATAGGAGATGGCGGATGATTAGAAAGAATTAGGGAGTGAGGGGACATAAAACGGTGAAGTGATTAAACATCTACTCCCTTTCCTTCTGAAACCGGACACAGGGGTCCAGGCTGCCTGTCGCTACTTGAGTCAGTTAAGCAGAGATGAGGTTGAATCATACATGCGCGTTTATTCCAATAATGCTGGCAATACGGGAGAGCAGCAGGATTTGTCCGCATAAAATCTGCTCCATGGGCCCCTCACACGCCAGTTCCTTATACTGGGTAGAAGGACAAAGATTACACGGGGAAGTGAGCAAAAGGAACAAGCCATGGGTATAACGGTTTACAGGTCACAGGAAATGTGGGCTGGGAGGGAGGCGAAAGGGCAGGCGCCTCCGGGACCCCTTTGTTCTGGGAACAAGGTTGTTAATCTTTCCACGGCGATAGGCAGTTCAGGAGAATGGATCACACCTCGAATGTCCCCGGGAGCGCACAACTCCCAGCCAGGTTAGAAAGTGCTTTTTCTAATTAGAACAATCACAGTCACCAGATTAATGATTAATATTTCTTATAACCATAGCTAACAATCACGGTCCCCAGGGCAGGACCCACGTCTCTGCCCCCAACACCTGGAGCTTCTGTGGGGGAGGAAGAACATGTCCTTGACCCTCAAGGTTCTTCTGGATGCTCTAATAACCAAACAGATCCGTATGGGAACCCTGCTCACCTGAGAGAGTCAGGGACCCACCAACTGCCCGGGGGAGGCTCAGAGATAGAAGGGACCTGGAGCATACCTGACATTCTGAGCCAGAAGTTATGAGATTCAAAGGGTAAAGCCAGCAGATGCTTAGTAAATAGAAGTACGTCCTGCCCTACAGAGAGATCAAAACACGTTATCTCCAGTAATTGCTTCTTACGGGCCAGGCCCCGCTTCAAGCTCTTCCAGGCAAAGGAGGCGCGGAGGTTCCCCCGAGCCTGCGACTCAGTCCGCCTGCGCCGCTGAGACACACCGGGCGACTCGCTCGGACCCCCCTCAGCCGGGAGGGGAGGAGAAAAGGAGGACTGTGCCTGCAAACAACAGCGAGGCGCAGGAAAGGTCTGATTTGGCCCTGCCCTACCCCTCACTTACAGGATCTCATGCAAAGCCCTTAACCTGCCCAGCTATTAACCTTGTTGTTGTATAAACAGCAGCTGATCCCCCAGTTTCACAAGACTCAAGCTCCCCAGGCTGCGGGCTCCCAGGGCAGCATGACGTCATGCCTCTGGGCAGCATGACATCAGGCCTCCGGGCAGCATGACGTCATGCCTCCGAGCACCTGGCGAATGCCTATGGGGTGAAGGTGAGGTGGGCGCGCCCCCCGCGCCCCGAGCTCCACGCTCAGGGTCCCGCCCCCCTGAGCGCGGCCAGCACGCTTCGCAACCTGAGGTGGGAGCTACGATCACCCCCGTTTTGCAGAGGAGGCGACAGAATAAATGAGGCAGGTAAGGGACCCAAAGCCCACAACCGGTGGGTCTTGGGAGACCGGATGATTTTTTTTCAACTCAAAGCTTTAGAGACAAAAGCATGTTCCACGATGGGGAGCGAACGGAGCCAGAGCCAAGAGCTCATCCTAAAGCATAAAACTCCCGGGCAAAGAAGAAAAGAGAATTGTTCCCGCCCGGACCCCAAGCCGGAGCTGCCCTGCGCTGCGCCGCGCCCAGCCTGACTTCCGCCCAACCTCCGCGGGTGGCAGGGAGTCCTCTCCTGGTCTCGCGATGCCCCGGGCTGAGGCGAGAGCTGGATGACTGAGAACTAGGCAGTGCGCGTGCTTATGACGTAAGCGGAACGGCTGGGGACCAGAGGCGGGACGAGAGCCCGGAGGAGCTCGGGATTGCGGAAGTTTTGTAAGGAGGGTCTGGCCGCTGTTGGGGCTCTGCGTTGTTTTGGAACAAGTTCCAGAAGGGAGGCCGCTGCTGGGGGTCGGAGAGTCGCCAGCCTGCGCGCACTGGGGGCTACACCGGGCGCGACTCGACGTCGCCGCTGTTGGTCCTGTGCCCTCTCTCCTCCCCAGGGAACCGCCTCGGATCTCCGCCATGGCGTCCACCTCGCCCAACCTCCAGGTATCACTGTTCTCCCTCCCTCTGGACGGGAGGCGCG